TAAAGCTAGATACACCACGTTAAGTCAGAAAATAAATCTTTAAAAAAAAAAAAAAAAAAAGCAAGCTATGGGATGTGGCAGGGAGAAGGGAATAAGTAGGACCTACTCACCCATTATAAGCCCGACATGAGGCAGAAATGCTCCCAGCAGCTGCTATGAAGCAGGGAATGAAGCCTAGACAGGCACCACCACCCATTCAGGGAGCACTGCCCTCTCGGCGCCACAAGAAAATTCTCCCCACCTTCACCCTGAGCCCAGAGATACTACCTCACCCCGCGTGCCTCAGACCCAGACTCTGCACTCACCAAGATGAGGAGACACTCATTGGCAAGTTCCTGGTGTTCCTGGATAGTGGACAGCACGGACAGCACCAGGCAGCTGAAGACCAGCAAAAATCTGCAATGGCAGCATGAAGGGAAGAGCCCACTCAGTGCTGAGTGCAGGTCTTTCAGGGCTGGATTAGGGCCCCTCAGTCAGGAAGTGCCTCCAGGCTCAGCCATGCACAGTGGCAGCCTCAGTTTTAAGGCTGTCTTGAAAGAAATGCCCCAGAGGTGGCATTTCCGTATGAAGTCCAAGGTGGCAGGAGTATGTGTTCATCTACAGAATGGGGCCTACCCCTGGTTTCATGGGTCTTCTGGAATTAAATGATGAGATGGTTATAGAAGGAAAAGGGACCAGGGTGGACAGGCAAAGAGGGAGGGAAGCAGAGTGGGAGAAGGCACTGGAGGAACCCAGGCCCTGAGAAGCCTTGTCACAGAGACCGGGAACTCCCAAGAGCACCAGAGGGCACCCAGATCCCACGGAGTGGCCCAAACCAGATGTTCAGAAATGGAAGGAACTTTGGAACCCAACGAATCCAACCATTCCTTCAACCTCTATTAAACATTTGAGGAAACTAAGACCCAGAGAGGGAAATGGATTCACCTAGAGTCACCCGGTATGTCCAGGGCAGAGGCCAACCACGGCTCCCAACCGCCCAGTGGACGGGGAGAGGGCATGGAGCGAAGCTGGTAACCCCGGGGTACAGGGGGTGGAGGGCGAGCCAGCTGATGGGTACAGGCTGATGAGGCCACCGGCAAGGAGGCTGGACTCCCAGAGCTTTCCTCTCCTGGATGGGGTGTGCTCAGCACACCCGTGCCCAGAGGGCCCCCCCACCCCGAGGAAGGGCATCTCTAGAAACTCATCCTTTGTAGGCTGACCCACAGTGCTCCCGAATGTCCTCTGGGTCTCCCCTCTGAGACTGCTGACATTGGGTTCTGTGGCCTAAAACACCTCAAGAGCTCAGCCCACTGAGACTCCACGCCTTCCTCTACTCCCACCCCAAACTCCACCTGCTCTTGGGAGCCCCACCCCACTGCTCCCACTCAGAGGCCCCCGCCAATGCTGGTGCCCATGTATGTGGCCCAAGTCACTTTACACATGGCTTGATTTGTGTTCATGTTTCCCTGTGCAGAGGCCTAGGGCCGGGGTCAGAGAGACCTGGGCTTGAGTCTCAGTCCTGTTGTGTGAGGCCCAGGAAGTAACCTACGCGCTCTGAGCCAGTCTCCTCATGTGTAACATAGGGGATAATGGGCAGAAAGGCAGGTCAAGGCCATGGTTCCACCCCAGCCCGTTAATCCCTCCTTGGGCAGGGGCTCCAGCCTTCTTGGGGGGCAGGTAGAAGTCTGGGCCCCAGCGCTTACCCCTGGGTGGAGGAGAGAAGTGGCTGGGGCTGGTAAAGGCTTTTAGATGAGCGGGTGAGGAGGAGGCCCCACTGGCCAGTTCCAGAGCCCAGTCAGCGTGGAGATGTAAGGCATGAAGAGGAGGGGATGAGGGAAGGAGGAGCCCACTGCGGCCACATCTTGATGGGCCTGGATCCTGGTCGTGATCACGGACAGAGACCGGCAGCCCCACACCTGGCTGACCCCGGGGCCTCAGCAGAAGCAGTGTGATGGAAGGGGCCTACTGGGTGTTCTCAAGAATCTTTTTCTCTCAACACTTTTCTTTCCATGTCAATCGTTACACATCTATAAAATATCTGCTCCAGAACAGGCTAAGTGAAAAAAGCAGATTATGAAACCATAAGGGCAGTGTGATCCCAGTTTTTAAAATATAGATGCTTCTATATACATACGACGAGTCAGCACGGCTTGTCTCACGAAAACGAAGGGGTTTGGCTTTTGCATTTCCTAATTTTTTAGGAAAAAACACGGGTAGTACCAAATGAATACAAAATTTTTAATTCATTTGCTTGGCAATACAAACAGGGAAAACCATGTTTAATCTTGCCCCACCCCTTTCCTACCTAGCACCTGCCGCTCGGCAGGTGAGATGTGGCAGCCTCAACCCAAGTCCAGTCCAGCCTGCACCTACCTACGCAACATATCTGCTTGGATGTCCTCAAACTCCCAACATATCCTCTAATTTTGCTCTTCTCCGGTGTCCCCATCTCAGCATGGCACCACCTCCCAACCAGAATCACCCAACTCTGCCGCCCCCTCACTCTCCACATCCTGTGCTGGAGCCATTTCTGGTGGCTCTAGCCCTGGCCACACCTGGCTCCCCTTCCTAACCAGGCTGCACGTGGCCCGGCCAGTGTCCTGTCCCTCTCCAACCCACCCTCTGCAGAGCATAAGGGCTAGCCAGCAGGCGGTGTAAAGCCGCAAAGCTCTGCTCCCCTTAAAACTCCCCACTGACTTCCCACAGAGTAAAAGTCAACTCCTGGGCATGTCCCTGCAGAGTCTGCAAGCTCTGGCCCCTGCCCCACCTCTTGAGGCTCATCTCCCCTGCCCCTCGGCCACAGGGCCCTGCGCCCAGCCATCCTGGCCTCAGTGCCAGTCCTGGAGCACACCAAACGTTTCCACCTCCAGGCTTTGCACTTGCTTTGCTGCTCCCTCTGACTATTTATTGCTCTCTTACTCATCCAGGTCTCTGTTCCAACATCGTTTCCTGGGAGAGGCCTTCTCCACCCCCTCTCCAAAATAGTGGCTCCATCCCCACTCTCTTCCCCTACTCCTCTTCACTTACTTTTTCACAGCATTGTTGAAAGACTGAGTAAATGAATCACAGAAACGCACATCAAACAAACATCAAAACACCACACCACACAGTTTCACAGGGGCAGAGATTTGCACACCAGTTTATGCCCACTGAGGATATCCCCAGAGTTCCAAGCCCACCCCTCCCTGGCCCCCCGCTCCTCCCCCACCCCGGCCTCCCCAGCATCCACCCTGAGAATGGGAGAGAAAGTGGTTCTCCATCCTTGACCAACAGTCTACCATCACTCAGTAGACTGTTTTAGTTTCTCCTCTCTGAATGCTCAATATAGTTGAACAGCTGTACTTAGTCTGACAGAGAACACCTCATGTTCCCGGCACCTGAATAATTATCCCAATCTTCCAGATGAAGAAATGGGGCCCAGGGAGAGACAGGCTTACTCAAGATCACACGGTGAGCTCATGGCAGAGCTGAGGCTGGAAGCTCAGCACAGATAACCATCCCACCCCCCAACCACCCCTGAGGACCCTCACACAGACACCTTCTGGGACACGACCCCAGCTGGGGCTGCCGTGTCCACCAGAGCCAGTGCGTGACTTCCTTTGCACAAGTAAGAACTGAGGATTGTCTCTGCCCCCTCTCAGGCCTCAGTTTCTTCATCTGTACAAATATAGGTGGCCCACAGGGGCTGACTGGGCGACCTCTTTGAGAGCTCCCACAGAAAGGCCACCTGGTAGCTACTTTGCCCATCATGTCTGGCTGCAATTTCGGGCCGCGTTCTCCTCACCCAGCCCAGAGGCACACCTGGGCAGGGTGGGTTCTGCTGGCCTGCTCTTTGAGGCCAAGGCTCATGGTGAGACTTGTAACACTACTCCCCTTCTGGCCATCCCCTTCATTCAGGAGGGCAGCTAGGTGACCAGGTGAATGGTGTGTTTGGATTAGTCATTCTCAAGCGATAGCAGGTCTCAAAATCACCTGGAGGGCTTGGTAAAATACTAATTTCTGGGCCCCACTCTTCACCTATCTGAGTCAGTAAGTATGAGGTGGGATCTGAGAATTTGCATTTCTACAAAGTTCCTAGTGATACTAACACCCATGGTTCCGGGGACTCTCCTTTGAGAGTCACTGACTTAGCTAATGGGAGTGGCTGTGGCTGACTGGATGATTAGCCAACTCAGAGCTTTTCAGACAACTGTCAACAATGCCTTCACCCTTCCCCCCACTTTCTCAAATTAGTGCCCAGGAGCAGCCAAGAGCCAGGGGAGTGAGGAAAGCCCAGCTGGAAAGGTGGGACATGCACCAACATCGGCTGCACCCCCAATTCGCTGGGGGACCTAGGTAATAACCACAGCTGTGCCTGCTGGCCGAGGGCTTCTATTGCCAGGCGCTGTCCAAGCCCTCTGCATTCATATTCTCACTTCTCACAATATGAATAAGAGTGGGCACATCACCACCCCCTGCTTTCCAGTGAAGAAACGGGGCTCAGGAAGGGTTCTGCATGGCTGCCCTCATGGTGAATTAACTAAAAACACTGAGTTGGGGCACTCCTTGGTGGGGCAGCAGGCTAAACACAGACACTGAAGCAGGAGTTCCATTCTCGGCCAGGGAGGTGACCCCCACAGTGCAGCAGACCTCTCCTGTCTCACCGGCTACTCCCCTCAGCAGTGTATTTCAGCCAATCTGCCTGTTTTGCTCCCCACTCTGTCTCTGGTGGATCTTCTCGCCTCCCATACTTCTAGCCTATACCCCAGTTCTTGTATGCTTAAATAAATCAATCTTTTAAAAAATGAAAACACTGAATTGGTCATTTATAAAGGGGTGGGATAGTAACTCAGACTGGAGAGATGAAACGATGACGAGGAAGGAGGGCTGGCACTGTACACCAGAAAAGGGCTCGTGGCCTAAGTACTCCGCACCCTTTCATTTAAGAAGCACAAGCTGCCTTCCGCACACAGCCAGGTTCACCATCAAGTCAGAAACAGTGCAGACCCTCAGGAAACAAACAAATGGACACAGCAGTGACACGCTGGCTGAGGCATGCGAGTGTGCAGGGGTCTGGAGCAGGGGGTAGCTAAGAAGATGTCAGCAGATCCAAAGTGGGGGGCGGGGGGGTCAGGGGGAAGGGTCACCCCTGGGGAAGGGTTGCCCCTGGCAAAGGAAACAGTGGTGACGTAGAAGCCTGTTGGTGCCAGCGGGACTAGTTCCGGACAGTGGCGCCTGAAGTGAAGGGGCCATGGACACAGCAAAGGGCTGGACCCGGGCATGGAGGGTCACTCCCAGCGCCTTGAGCACTGTTTTAAAGGCACAAGCTGTTGGAGACCAGCTCCAACTATTGAGGCATCAGCGAGTGGAGATTCCTAAAAAGGGGAGAAGGAGAAAAAGGGGAAAGGGGAGCGAGGAAGACCCGGGAATCGGAGTTG